GCGTAAATCTGACAAATGACATCACGGAATGCAAAACAACCGATTGTGGAAAGTGAAACCCCGTAAAATAAGTGATTGACACATAATAATCTATCGGCAAATACACTACACTAAAAAACATAATTCAGACGAACATTAACCATTTCTTCCACTAATACGAGTTTAATGGATTAGTCAACCTAATTGAATACATAATGCATATATTACAATATACAGTACTATAATACGAGTACGTAATTTACGAACTGTATTTATGATACACCATTTTTAGCTATTATTATTGATGTTGTTGAAAACCGGTTACTAACGATAAATAATCGTGCATCACTGTAGGATCGATATTATTTTCTTGAGAAGAATTGGTGAACAGTGTATCAATAGCTTAAATACAAGGAACAATTGTTGATTTTTTTTTTCGGGTAATTAATCTTCACAGTAATCTAGTGTACAGTTTGCTTGCGTCCACTGGAACAGCACAGGAAGATAATTAAAAACTAGTTTAAGTCGTACCGTGTTCTTTAACAAATAACTTGTGTTTCATTAGAGCCACTGTTTATAGCATCGTTCGCCCTTCAGCTGAACTAGCTGTTTTGCAACAACGTTTCCTGAACCCGATTTTCTAAATTGGATAGTGCTGATTACCAATTGGATTTATGTCGCCAACTCATCGGAAATATGTATCCTCATGGCAAGAGTAAATATATTTACTCCCGGCTGGAGCGCCCTTAGTTATTTGACGTCTGTAACTTATGGTGTGTCCCCAAAGTCACGCATGTAATTAACAATCAAATAACGGTCACTTGATTTTGTTACCATGACAATAATGCTTTAATAATGCTTCAAAGAGAGGATATTGGAAAAAACATGTTCATGTAAGTTGCAATAAATAATACAGACATACATTATACTTCATTACTCCCGCCGTCCTTAGGTTATTACTCTAATTCACTTCACATATCCACACTTATCATAGTGACTACTTCAAACAGAATACTTATGGAATGAAATCTTCCCGACGAAACCTCAAACAAGGCACATACCAAGAAACATTATTTTTTGGATGTTTGCAAAGCTCCATGTGATTTACATGTGAAAAGTTTCCAAATACTATAATATGGATTTAAAATTTACAAACACTAACAATTAACCGCGGTTTTGATAAGCTGGCATGTCTGAAATGTCATCTTCATCATATATTAGCTCATTTAAATAGAGTGGTTAATATTCACAGTAAGAAGTCAGTAGCTCAAAAAGTATAAGTTTCTATACATTTATTTTGTGGGTTGAATAGTTCTCTAATATGAAATTATATATCAGGAAGATTTTAGATTTAGAAATTAGATTTAGAAAGAACATGATATTTAGCGAAATCTTTGAAGCTTAAGCAAAGTTTATGTAGCGACAATTGCCAAGCAATTTATGCCAGTAATCATCATGCTGCTATTTAGGCATATTGCGGAAGTTCGATCACCTGCTGTAATGATGATTAGTATAGGATAATGCCTAACTACGAGAACTCTTATAGGATAAGACTGACCCGAATAAAATGTGGATGCCGCAGGTTAGACTTTATATTCCAGAAGAGTTCGAGTAGGAGGGCGTTATTTGACTTAAAACCCACCGCCCAAACTATGTATAGATATAAAGTTTCCGGAAAGTGTAATATTTTGAAGGCCTTTAGTGAATCTTGTAAACTATTTTTCACGGATTTCGTGATGGGATAGGGAACCCATGTCCCTATTCTAAAATGGAATATTGAATAATAGTCGAACATTTGTTAGGCAACAATGCAGTACACGTGTGCATGAACGTTAAAATTTCTGAATGTTGAGTTGTTGTCATATAATTTGCATCTTGAAATTGAGGCATGTAGACCATATACGCAAGATCTGAATAATGATCAACTAATTTCTCATGTGTAACACGAAATTCGGATTCTATATTTCTAGTACAGAAAGTGTGACTGGATAAAGGTCGAGTACGTATATGAAGTCAATGCAAGAGGATGCGTGACGATTTCAAATGATGTTGCAGAAGAAGCCTAGCGCTACATAAAAAGGAAACTATACATAATAGAATCGTGATTTTAGAGTGGGTGAATTATTTAAGAATCAAATTAGACAATCACGGACTCCAGTAACTATTTCTTTCAGAGACACAGACAGAATGTATCACTTGGATATAAATGCAGTGTGGCCGTGATTTTACTGAATATCTCTTGACTAATTCTCAAATGCTCATATTTATCACGGTAGTACGTCTTGTTTTCTATAAAGCGAAGTTTTCGAAAGTGTTAACTGTATCCCCACGTATTCATTGTATGCTACATAAAATGTCAATTTATCTGCACATATTATATTGGCTTACTACTGTATTTTAAACTTTAAACAGATTATTCTAATAACATAAGTGTAAAATAAGCTACTGAAATCACGCAATGCCTTTCACTTTCTTGTTAAAATTATTGAATGTGTATCAAACTGGTGTATAACTCTGTATTGTGGTGACACAGTAAAAACACCCGGAGTAAAATCCATGGCAACGACGGTCAGCATATCAGATACAAAGATAAGGTCAATGATATATTGGACTAATTTGCACAATAATTAACCAATGCCTTTCCACTGATACCACAAGAACCAATTAAAAGCATTCTTGTTTACATATGTTCTCTTAACTTAGCCACGTGTGTGATTAGTTTTTGTTTTGGTTGCAAAATAATTACCTAATTTGTATAAATTATTAGTTTTATTGCATACCTCCAGTAGCACTCATCAAATTTAGATGAAACTTGGTACATAAATACTTTCTAATTTTCTTACTTCAAGTATGTCAGGGTTGAAATCAGAGCATATTGATTACCTAATTTGCATAAATTAGACCTTAGCTCATTGGCATGAGGACCATCGCCCCTTAGTTGCATATCGCGTGGTCAATGCATCATTCTTTCACTGATTTGACCATGCCTTTTCATCCACAAGTTTAACGAAATCATGCTCTTTTAAATAGGCCCAGGTTCTGGAATAAACCATTATAAATTAATTGTTTCCTATACAGCAATTCAATCAAGGCAATATTACACTATAGCTACAGTTGTTTTTCTCAAAGCATTCTTCAACTGTAGCTATATAAATTACCTAAATGTGAGATATTGAGTTTGTCTTCCTGTCTTCAGAATTTTTTTAGTGTAGCTGAGTACAATTGTGCATTATGGGTAATGGTTGCTTTAATATAAAATAGCATTTTTCATTGTTGCAACACTAGTAAACATGCACCTTGTATTCCTATCAATTTTATAGCCTCAATATAATGTCTTGAACTCTCGCCAATATCCAGTCGACTTCGTTAATTCAACAAAGGATAAGTACAGCAATAGATTGTTTGTTAATAGGGTCTATATTGTAGATACTAGTTCATTGGTACATTAATGATTCAACTGAACCCACTTTTGCTAAGACTGTTGACAAGTTTTATATTTGGCTATACTAGTAACCCTCATTTTGTGAGTCGAACGCATTCAAAATGTTTTTGTTAGTTTTTGTCCATCTGCCAGACGCCAATTCTCGAGTAAGTTTTAAAGTTGGTACAAAGACGTGTCATAATTTCACGTTAAAAATATGGCAAAAAATTCAGAATCTCATAAATTACCAGAATACACAAGACATGGCCTGTATTCACTAATTGATTAAAAAAATATACTGCTGAACCAGTACTCTTGTTGGTGTGGCACATTTCGGAAGTTCGACCACCAGCTAAAATGATAATAACTATGCGTTTGGATTTAGTTTAAAATGCATGAATAAATGCTCTTTAACAATTCTATTTTTGCAATGACAAGATTCGGGTGATAAGATGGAAAAGATGATACGTGACAATATCAAATGATACTGCCAAGGGAGCCTAGAGGGAAAAGGAAAATACATGATGAATTCATGGTTTCGCTAAAATAAAACGTACCCATGGTGACATGTATTGGTCAATAGAGTATGTCTCTTGGCTAAAATATCTTCTATTTTTGTCTCTTTTTTCACCGGTGATTTTATAGTGGGTAAATCATTGAAGAACACGACATATTCGATGATCACGAACTCCCTATAACTATTTATTTCACAGAAAAATACATAATGTGGCACTTGGAGAAAAATGCCGTGTGGTCGTGATTTTACTCAAAAGCTTATATTTATCAAAGTGTTGCATCGTTTTGTTTTATAAAGAGAACTTTTCAAAAGCAGCCCCGCGTATTCGTGGTATACAACATGTCTATTTAGAAAAAACGTGGTTTACATATATCGTATCGGCATACTTCGGAGAGTTAAATTTTGAGCAGATTGTCCAAATAAGTTTTGTGTGAAACAGAATATCAATAGGTAGATCGAATGTAATTATATTTCTTTTAAAATCCAGCTTCTACCTTAAAGAGCTTCGTAACGATTATTTCAGTATATTTTTTTTGTAGTGGTGGTGGTGTATACTGTAAAGCTTTTTGAAAACGTACATGCCATTTAATTTTGATTTGTACATCTTTTTAATTTCTATGGATTATTCTTTTTTAATCTGAAATAAACCTCAATAATAATAATTTAACGAGTTTGACTAAATGCATGAAATAACAGAACTTTAATTCAGCTCGTATTAATTTGCATAATAATTGGGTAATGTTTAGCTTTTCCACAGATATCAAGAACTACTCAATTAGCTGTAGTACACATATCCATTACCACTCATCCAATTTTTGTGATGCTTCGAGATAATTTGCAAAAGTATTGTAAGGATGAAATCAGAGCCTATTAATTGCTTAATTTGCATATTTCAAGAACCAGGTAGGTTCTCTGATACGTGCAATATACTACTTTTGTTGTTGTCAAAGGCAATTTACAGGTTACACAATTCTGCTGACAACTGGTATGACAACATTTCTACCTAGTTTTTTATAGTATTGTGCATCTCAAAATGACACATTACATACAGTTGTGATGAAGACAGTAATATACAAATTGAAGTCGTAATTAACAATTTTATTATACAATGTCAATTTTCCAATGGTATTTTGTTACATTTCAAACACTTCTCCCGAAATGAAGGTACCCAAAACAACCTTTAAAATACACCACAAATACAAAATTGAACATATCATGCCTTTATTTATTCAATTAATATGAAAATAAAGTTTTATATCTGGTAAATCCACTGCAAGTGAAAACAAAAATCATAAAAACAACACCTTCTGTGGTGAACTGAAAAAAAAGACAATGCAAGGACAATAACATTACAACGATAATTACATTTGTAATCAATAACTGGGCAAAGAAACGACTAATCAATATTCTCAGATTTAAAAAAAAATAAGAATTTGACACAAGAACTAAGCATTCATATCATACATCAAAATGCATAGTTTTATATAAAACACAATAGTAATTATCACAAATAATCTAACTCGTAGGCAGCGACAACTAATTTACTACTGCCCTTTTAGAAATGTACACATGTGTATGCTCAATTACCAGAAATGTACACATGTGTGTGCTCAATTACCAGAGATGTACACATGTGTATGCTAAATTACCACATTTTAGAAATGTACACGTGTGTATGCTCAATTACCACTTGCCACCATCCAAAAGTAACATTTATTTGAAATTTTCTACTTCAATTTGTTGCATTATTTAGTACCTAGTATGTAAACTGAAAGAATTTATGAATAAACCATTACTCAAAAAACTGTCAGTGACAATAAAACCGGACACAATGTATCAATGCACAGTTTACATACATTTATAAGGCATGCATACATACATGTATACTAGAAATGCAGACATACATGATTCACCTACAATTACTTACTCTCATTCTACTATTATAGAAAATAAATATTTACAAGTTCAAAAATATCGGCTTATTGCAGATACTAGTATAGCAAAGAGATGTAATATTGTGAGAAAAAAAAACATGCGTATGATCACACATGCGCCCTCATAAATAATTACAGCAGTCATTTAAGGATATCCTTATTTACAGATAATTAAACATTACATATCATAAAGTGGAGGACTAGTCTACAACCATCTACAGCAAATACTGGTAAATTCCACGTGGCAGCTCAAATTTTTAATGAAATGAAATTATGATTATCAGTTTCTCATTAATTAAAATGAACCCCATAAGATATGCAAACACATTTCAAACTTCACTGTTAAAATAACTTTGATAAAAAAAATCATGAAAAACAAATTACTGTATTCAATTCCTAATGTCGATAAAGAGAGTTGAGATTAAAACTATGGAGGTTACATGTTATTAAAGTTCCTTGTACTAATTATTGAGAGAGCAATTAAGAAATATTCCGCAATTTTCAAATCTTTCAAGTGTAAAATGTGACCTGGTGGACAAAGTATAAAGTAAGTTATGGTATCAGAAAGTTTTTGGTCTCTAGCACATAAAACTTTGCAAGTAATACTTCATGGTGTGCAGAATCAAACACTGCTGTAATCACATCACCCAATCATGAATATTTCAACTTTAAATTTTTAGGAATTTCATTAAAAGTAATAGTAATAGTGTTATATATTTTTATGTAATTTTCTATAATTTCAGTTTTAATTTTGTGCCTAATGGATAAATTTTCTGATTGGCTACAAGTCTTAATTGATTGATCAGAAAAAAATGAACAAATCATGCAGGTATATTAGGAAAATGACAAGCTTTGACATCAAATAGACAATGAATTATCTACAGATTAAGTACATTGTTTGTGGTGTCATGGCAAGTTTAATTAAAATCATGATAGTGATGAAACAAGGAAGACAGAATTCACAACTTAAGGGTCGTAATATGCATTAGAATTTAAACCGTTGCATAATTAGTTTGCAACAAAAAAGCACCATGTGAAAATAAATGTGACACATGTCACCTTGATTGCAATAACACAATTTACTCTGACACATGTGACATCGATATGACAGTGACATGTCAGTCAGTCAGCACAAATCAACAAGTGTCACATCATGTTCATTGACATATACGTAAAACAATGTGTCATATTGGAGAAGATAACATCTCAGTGACATTCATACTTGAGTTAAATACAAACATGACAGATTTGCCAAATCAGATCAAAGTGAGCAGCACATTTCAATTCAATTTTTATACAACAAAACATCTAACACAGTATATATTATGTCATTTAGATAAAATTTTAAACACCTAAAGTTATAACCAATTTATACAAGTGAACTTTCAAATAAAAACATACCATAAAATTGCATAGGTCTACAGAATAGAGAATGTCAAGTTCAAATGGATTTTAATGAAAGTTGTTTTTGCAGAACCTTTGCACTATAGTTGTTCTGAAATATAAAAATTATTATTATTAGTCAAATAATTTGCCATCAGAAAGTTTATGATTTATTGTACATAGTTTTTTTAATTAATTAATCAGGCAGACACAAATTCATTTTAAGTATTAACTATTGGTACTGTATTATATGTATGTACATATATTAATTTTTTTTTCTAGACCTAGCACCCCGTCAAAAATTCATGCACAATGAGCTCCATATTAACAATTCTACATGTAATAAAAAAAGTTACATACCAATTAAAGTCATCACGCCATGTCCTGTTCGATATTGGACCCATAGCGGTGTATACAGTACATATAAAATACATTGTTTACATGGAAAAATCAAACATGCGCTGCATGACAACTGTAGTGCTTTAAAAGGATTTACAAAATTTAGAGGATTGCATCAGGATAATTTCAATGTTTCAGGTAATATTGATATTGTGTAAGCAATTATTTGTGGTTCATTAAACCAACAGCAAATTCCTATTTAAGTGTAATTTTTGATTTGAGAATAAAGCTCAGTGTAAAATCTCTGGCCTATACTACATTGTTTGTTCTGGTGATCATACAAGTATAGATCTGGTTGATGAAGAAAACCAAACAAAAATTTAAAGACAAAAATATTGGAATGCATTAACGTTATATAATCTGCATGGGATTTGACAAAAATACAAAGGTTTGATAGAAAGCCAATTACTGTGTAGAGCATATGTAACTCAGTATAACAGTTTTAAACAAGCAGCCTCTCGGCTGAGATAGCTCCGCTGTTAGCAATGCACATTTCAATTAAAGAACAGAAGATATCATTAGAAAATGAACAAGATGCATAGTATCAATGCAATGGGACTTGCTGTTTTCAACAAGAATTCAAAAATATCATTTTTCAACATAAATGATTGTGGTTTTTAACAAGAAAAAAATATCACTTTTTACCAAAAATGACAAAAATATTCACCAAAATTAGAGAATTAAAGATATCATTACAAAATGAACAAATCTGAGAGAGGTCCACATGTAGTACCTATATATGTAATATCAAAGCAATTGGACTTGCGGTTTTTAACAAGAAGTCGAAAATATCACTTTTTACCAAAAATGACAAAAATATTCACCAAAATTAGAGAATTGAAGATATCATCATGAAATGAACAAATCTGAGAGAGGTCTACCCAAGGTACATATACACCAAGTATCAAAGCATTCAGGCTTGTGGTTTTTAAGTAGAAGTCAAAAAAGTAAAACATTGACACGGACGACAACGGACAATCACTCATATGATAAGCTCCGCTCGACAAAGTCGACAGCGGAGCTAAAAATAAAATAAATAGTTATTTTTTTTCCAACTTTACACCTTTTTGTTGAATTAAGGTTGAGCTATCAAAATAATCGCTAATGCTGTCCAGACATGATGTCACCAACTTGTTCCAGTTTATATGCAAGTCTACTTTTTCTGGCAGTGTCATCATCTTCTAAGGCTTCGAGAATCTGTAAGCGAATGTAGAATAGAATGTCATGATGTAAATGTGACATTACAATGCAGTTGGTATTAACACTGACAGTCAGCATAATTACTGTTTTGTTTGTTTAATGTATCATTGTGCATAATAAATTGAATGTGTCCCTTGCATGAAGTTGTCTATGTAATAATCTCTCATAGCACTCATTTGTACATTGTGAGTCACCCATGTAAGTATGGAGTTTGATCATGTGGTAACCAGAACCCACATAAGATGGTGATAGTAAATTAAACCTATTAAAAAGAAGCATGTCAGCTGTCATAACTTTGCTCTTTGAAATGCACAATGTGATCCATGGAACTTAAGATGATAATACAAAGAGAAAACATTACAGAAATATTTATTACAAAAAACAAAAACAAATTAGATTTTATATCAGTGAAAATTGTACAGATTTCAAACTGAAACTAAGCAGGTCTGGGGATAACCCAGAACACTTATACAGACAGATATGTAGCAAATTAAGGGGTTCTAGTGATTGGCATTTATAATAAAATAGAAATGATAATCAAAATTAAACTCTGCAAAGATCCCATGCTTGTGAATACAGAGTATTTGCAATCATTGTTGTTTTATAAAAAATACATAGAAAATGAAGGTACATGTACCTATGTAATGAAAGCAAATAAAAGGAAAAGAACATAATGACAATAACTACAGTTACAAGATTCACAATAACACATACTTGATCATTGTATTTATGCGTGAAGTAGAAATAGAGTTCATTCAAGGCTGATACTGTGTTAAATTCAAACTGATGTACCCTGGATTCATCAGCCAGTGCTGAACTCATGTCCTGGTCACTAACTGTTGGCATATTCTTAATATCCTCATAATACCTGTAAAAAAGTGAAGTAAAGTTAACTATCAACTATATATTCGCATCATGTCTTATTATTTCAATCTCACATTCAGATTAATCAAGAATTTGTTAGTGCTTTAGATTGGGGAAGCCCTGAATTGCAATATGGCTAGCATATGAAATTCACATTATTCAAAAAGGCAATTATAAACAAATCTGAGAGAGGTCTAGCTGAGGTCCCTATATGTATAGTATCAAAGCAATCGGACTTGCTGTTTTCAACAATAAGTCAAAAATATCACTTTTTACAAAAAATTACAAAAATATTCATTAAAATTAGAGAATTAAAGATATCATCCTGAAATGAACAAATCTGAGAGAGATCCTCATGTTGTACCTATATATGTAATATCAAAACAATCAAACTTGCAGTTTTTTTACAAGAAGTCAAAAATGTCACTTTTTACCAAAAAATTCATTAAAATTAAAGAATTAAAGATATCATCATGAATTGAAGATATCATCATGAAATGAACAAATCTGAGAGAGGTCTACCCAAGGTACATATACACTAAGTATCAAAGCATTCAGGCTTGCAGTTTTCAAGTAGAAGTCGAAAAAATACAAGGTTGACACGGACGCTGACAGACAATCACTCATATGATAAGACAAAGTCAACAGCGGAGCTAAAAATGTATACATTAATTAAGTACTAATTGTGCCTTACAATAAAGGATGTGCACAAATAATATAAAGCCCAATATTTAAATAAAAATACCCTCTGAGATAATTTTAAGATGTTCTTGGACAACAAAGCCTTCTCACCTGTAGACCCAGTCCCTGTAATGTGGAATGTCTCTAGCATATAATAATTTACTAGACGGGGAATCTTTGCCAAGTTTATGTTCTGACGTTGAACAGGAGTCCATGAACGTCTGTGCTACCACTGAGAGACAAGCATCAACTGTTTGCGACTTGTACACATCAAACACAAAGTCAGGATTTTTTATAACATTCACCCAAAATCTCAAGGGTAAACTGCAAAAGATAAACATGTACATTACTTGAGTTGTCAATTAAAATAATCAACAGATACTTGTATTTCATCCTTATATTCCCAAGATTCAGATTTTAAATTTATGACACAGAAAAGAAGAAATGTTTTCAAATCAGTTGTCTTTTATTTTTCAATTGTTAAAATTTTTTATTTAGTAGCGTTTTGATATTATTCTTTCTCTACTATATGGATTTAATATTTTTTTTACTAATTTGCTTAAAAATTCACGAAAAAAACGATTTTTTTGTTTCAAAATCTGTAATTCAAGAATCATAGAAATCTAATCTGAGTTAAAGGGGATGACAACATAATACTCACAGATGAAAGAGCTTGGCAAATGTAAGGACATGCAATTTACAGTTTATTTATATCACTTTTCATTCTTTAAATATTCATCATTCATCATATCCACTGATAAAATGATTTCATCTATAACTTTCCCTTTAATGTGATACTTCAACCCATAATTACAATGATTTGTAATTAAAGGTCAATAATATAGTATAGTAACATAGCGACTGCTGTAAAAATATAGTATAGAGAGTTATTATCAGCTCTATTTATATTCTATGGTCAACACTAAAAAAGTGAGGACACTGACCTATTGCTTTTCCAAGTATGAACGACATCAGGATCTGTTATTCCGTGCTCTAATGCTTGTTCGTCAAGGAAATCAAACAAGTACTTAATTGCTTGTGGCAGAGCATGCCCATGATGCACTGTACTGAAAAGGGTCTCTAAAAAGTCATCCACATATTTCTGTAATGTACCCTGTGAGAATAAAACTTTATTAGTAGACAAAACTGGAAGCCACCTCGAGTTAACTCGTGAACCAGAGACTGTAGATACGTACACCATGTGAATCTATAATCTAAAAAGAATTATTAACTACCATGACTATCTACAGGCAGAGCTTACTTTAGTGGATAGTAGCTAAGTTAGGTAAATCCTATATAGGCACAAATTACTTTAGTGGATAGTAGCCAAGTTAGGTAAATCTTATATAGGCAAAGCTTATTTTAGTGGATAGTCGCCAAGTTAGGTAAATCTTGTATAGACAGGACATACTTTAGTGGATAGTAGCCAAGTTAGGTAAATCTTATATAGGCAGGATGTACTATAGAGGATAGCAGCCAAGTTAGGTAAATCTTATATAGACAGGATGTACTATAGTGGATAGTAGCCAAGTTAGGTAAATCTTATATAGACAGAGCTTACTTTAGTGGATAGTAGCCAAGTTAGGTAAATCTTATATAATTTTTTTTTTTTTTTTTTTATTAACACTTACACATTCCCCGGAGGGATTGGCAATGGTTACAAAAGTTTAAAAAGAAATAAAAGGTTACAAAACAGAAAATAGATAATAAA